CTGCTCTTGAGCAGTTTCTTGCACGCCAAACGGCACATCATGGTGCGCGCTATATCATAACATCTGGAGTGGCCCTGAATCGATGCTCGAACTGCTGCTCATTCGTTGCCGATCGACAATCTACCCAACATAAGCACACACGGGCCTACGCCAACGGGCGTTGTCAACTCGACAGGGCCCGCGTGTCTTGACAGATCCGGGTGCCCGCTGAACTCAGATGTGGATTATGTGACGTAGCGGCTGTTTGGCTCGGTGAGTGAACTGCGCGAGCACCTTCGACGCGAGCGCTTTCCTCTGCCGCTTCCGCGGCTTGTTGTTCCTCGCCCCGCCCATCCGAGGCGGGCGCTTCGCGCCGGCTGCGCCGGCGGCGGGCGGGCGGCGCGGCCGCTCCACCGGCGCGCGCCCGCGGGGCGCGCCAGCGCCAGGGGGGGGGGGGCGGCGGCAATCGCGCCGATGGGCTCATGGAGGTCAAGACGTGGAAGTCGGGCCGGAAGCATGCGTTCGGCATGATGACGCGCCAGGCCCACCGCAATCCCCAGCAAATGCGCGAGGTCATTGCGGCGCTATCCGACGTATTCCTCGCCCCCGAGGACCGCCCCCCCACCCTGGGCGCGGGGGCGCGAACCTCCGCGTGCGGCGAGGCAGCGAAGGGCAAGACATACCGCGAGCGCGGCCACCCCCAGCGCTGGGCGCGCGGCAGCGCGTAGAAATGGCTCGAGGATCAGCGCCCCGATGCCCCCGCGCATGGCGCCCCCGTGAGCGAGGAGCTACGCGGCGAGATTCAGCGCGCGCGCGAGGAATGCAACCAATGGGGCGCGGCGAAAAAGTGCGAACTGCTACTGCGCTGCAAAGTGGAGAGGGTCTTCCAGAAGGGCATGAGCAAAATGACACTCGCGATCAGGGGCCCCGCGCTCCGCCAGATGATGCTCGAGGTCCTCGAGGGGCTTTAGGGCCTGGCGCTGAGGCGGGCCCGTTCCGACGCCCATGGGGCGCGAGCTCCAGCGTATGTTGGGGCAGGCGGACGCAGCCTGGATGACCGCGCCGAGGCCGCAGACCCACGAGCCCTGTCCATCGTTCTGCGCCGTGGTGGGCTACCTTCCGATAGGCCGCGAGATAGTGGCATCTGGGATGGCGCAGTCAGCAGAGCCGACGATGCTGGGGCGCAGTGGGATCTCGGTGCTGTGGCCACCCGTGAATATGGTAATGCTCCGTGGCTGCCGCTACTCGAAGCTTGTGCTGATCGGGCGGTGTTCGGGGCTCGTCCAGCTGCTGACCCTGCTGATGGCGCTCGGCCAGGCACCGTCTCTCGCCCGTCCAGGCTTCGACTTGTCACAGATTGTTTAATATGTCGTCGTTTTGCCCCTGGCACTCCGCAGTTCCAGACGATGATGAGCAGTGCTAGAGTTTATGGGTTGGCCAGGCAGTGGCATGGCCAGCATAGTGGCAGCAGAGGCGGAGCGCACTGAGTGAATATCGAATTGCCTTTCACATCGAACTTGTTGTTTGTTGACTGTGTTGACAGGGGCCCTGCGTAGGACCGCTGCTGCTGCAAGGCGGGTCTGGCCCTGGGGGCTCCGTCGTGTAGTGGCGGTGGCTCTGCGCCAGGCTCTTGCGAACCCACTTTTTGCGTTCGCCAAACATCCGCCCGCCCTCCGTGGTTCCACAATGTTCCGCGACGCGCAAATCTGGAACTGCGCCGACGGTCCTGGTGTCACTTTGTTGGTCGGGTCTCGGCTTTACCCTGGGACAATCCAGGATTGCCCCTCACGGTCCCCTCGCATGTCGGAGACCGTGGGGACGTGTTATGAAGTCGTCGTGGCTCCGTAGGGTGCCGTCCTGTCGCTTCGAGGGCCAGCTTTTCGGTATGCTCTTGGCTTGATCAGGCTCGCCGCTCCAAAGTCATTCGGCATTCAATTCGTTGTTTTTGCCAGTGCTGATTTTGATATAGCTGAATTGCATAGTGCATCCAACTCCCCCCAAAGACATCGGTTGGAGCTTATGGTGATCGTCTGTCCGTCTGTCCGTTTCCTCCTCCTCGTCCTCTTCTTCCTCCTCCTCCTTCTCCCCCTCCGTTTCCGTCTTCAGGTCGGCTCCTGCCCCCCCTCCTCCACACCTCCTCCTCCTCTTCCTCCTTCTCCTCCTCCTCCTCCTCCTCCTCCTCCTCCTCCTCCTCCTCCTCCCTCTCCTCCTTTAACGCCCCCTTTTTTATCAAGCCCTCCAGGTTTTTACGTTGGGCGGACATAGGCTGTGCAGCTGTTTTGCCTGGGCGGCATCTGCAAAATCCGACTTAGGCGAGATGACACAAGACACAAGGTAACACGATCCCAGTTTCCGCTTTTACTCCTTGGCCTCCTCCTCCTTCCCCCCCTCCTTGCCCTCCTTCCCCTCGTCCCCCTTGCAGGCGTGCATGCTGTTAACAGAGATCTTTTCCAACCCGGTTCCTGGATCAATTCCCTGGGGCCCACGGTTGTCATCCCGGATGGGTCTTTGACGGCCTTGGGGCCCGAAACGCTGTCCAAGAGGCCGAGCCGGAGGAAAGACTTCTGGCACGCTCTCGTTTGACGGAAGGACTTGCGGGGGCCGTGCTGATGGAGTTGCGCGCGTCAGGAGGAAACGGCTAGTTGGGCGTCGGCGAGCTGCCCTCTCTCGTGCAGGCCTCCTGCAGGCTAGCCGCAGCCTGGGGGTGCTGTGGTCCCTGCCCCTGAGAGGGGCCCATTGGCTTTGACCCCCCGCTGGGGTGATCGTCGATACGATGGGTTGCCTCACGGGGTGAGGAGCACAGCTTCCCCGGTTGCTGAGGGTCTCCCACATGGGGTCGGAGTAGAGGGCGTCGAAAGATCGCGCCGCGTCGCCGACGCGTCCTCCGAAGCTCCGGCGAAGCGAAAGGCTCACTTCGCAGGATTCTGGGACGAGACTGTCAAACCATCCGCAAGTCCTCCTACCCGCAGAGCAGATACCGATGCCTTTTCCTCGTGTTTTTCTTTCTGGGCTCTCCTGGGGGCGTGCGGCTGGACCCGCCACGGAATCCTGGACAAAACGCGCCTCAGGGAAAATTATGTGAAGTATCGGTATCGGTATCATAGTATCGAGGTGTAAGATCGAGGTTGGTTCGGGGAGGGTGCCCTGGATGTTCTTCGTGTTTGTTACATGTTCCTGTGCATCCTGGGGAAGGGGGTCCCTTCGAATGTTCTTCGGTTAGGCCGGCGGAGGGTCTCATGGACTTGAAGGTTGTTTTTCTGTCCTAGGTCTGGCCGTAGTCTATCGGCTGCGAGGAAGAGTGGCCCTTCGCAAGAGTGACCTTTGGTGTGCGGCTTTGAGGGGCGCAGGTCTGCCGACCCAAGCATGGAAGCCGCTAATTTCTACCGCATCGTACGCGGCGATGGACAAGCCGCCCACCAAAGGCCATTCCTGCCTGGGGTCACTCTATGCGTGCAGCCGCAGTTGTGTTCCTCCATGGTGGGAGGGGGCAGGGGAGGGGCCTCGGGGAACCTTCTCGCGCAGTGCCGCGACGGGGGATGCCACGGACCAGCTGCACACGGAGTCGAACGTGGGAGATTGAGAGGGGGCTTATTACGGCGGTTGCCACCTGCCTCACGACGGCATTTCCGTTCTCAACCTGCCCAACGAAGGGGCAGGGGCCACACACAGACGACCAAGCATTTGCATCTCTGGAAGGCCTGCTTGGCTCAGTGGGGGGATGGGCCCTTGGTGGGCCCCAGCATCGGCAGGGCCTTTTCCTGTTGTGTGCCCAGAACTGTTTCTGGAATACTGATCTGGGATCGGAACTCCAACCAGAACCGGGGGAGCACACCGCGACGGAACCAGGGAGAGACTTGCACCAGAGCTGGCAAACAAGTTACCACACGGAGCGGGTAAAAGCTGTCGTGTCCAGGACTATCGTGGGCGAACAGCCCAGGGGAGAGCAACACGTGTCTCCAGGGGTGCCGATGCCGATGCCCCCTGCCTTCGGCGAGGCTCCCGGGCGAATGCGTGCAATGCCCGCCCGTGGGCTGTTCGCCCCCCTCGCCGCCTCCGACATATGCGGGTGGGCCACGGTGCTGCGCACCGCCCGAGCTGAGGCCGCGCGCGGCAGGTCCGCGCCGTGCCGGCCCGGCGGCGAGACCTGGGCGCGGGCGTCCACCGGCGGAGCGCCGCCTGCGGCCCGACCCCCGCCGGCACCGACCGATCTGCGCCGGCGCGAAGCTGGCGCCGCGGTGGGGCGGAGCGGTCCCACGTGGGAGCCCCTTGCTGTGGGAGCCGGCTGGGGTCTGGCGGTTTTGGCCAGCAGGATGGGGGGCAGGAGCTCCAGGTCCTGGGTGCGAGGAGGTCTCTTGCCTCGGTCGGCCTCTGCAGGGGGCCGTCTTCGGGCCCTGGGGGCCGTCAGAAGCAGATCCAGGGTGAAAAACTGCACCCGGAGGACTGGGAGGGGTCCAGGGAGAGATTTGAGCGGATGTGGCGGCGTCCCACTTTTTGGATAGATTTTCTGGGGCCCCATCCCGTCCAGGACCCCAGCCGCCTCCAATCTGGACGACAATGAGCTCACGGAATGCAAACTCGGGGCCTCTAAACGGTGTGGTGACCGCACCGTGTGGTGGGTGTCAGTGGCGATTCGGGGTGACCGCACGGTCTTAGCTTGGGTCGTTCTCCAAGAGTGTCTCGGACAGCTTGGGGAAAGCCGTGGGTGGACGGACCGTGCGGTAAGGTCTCTTGACATTTCGAGCTCACCGCACGGTCTGTCACAGCATAGTTGTGGGACCCCCGAGAAACTGGTGCCTGAGTTCAAAGCCCGCCTGCCACCTGATCCCCGCCGCCACTGACCGATCTGCGCCTTGAAAGACCGCGGCTGTGTCGGGGCCGATCCATTTCCACCCTGGGGCCAGACATCGACGCTTCACGGGTGGCTGCGCCACGATCCAGCCGTGCTCGACGTGTGCTCTCGGTGGCACCCCCCCCCATCCTGTGCCCCGCGTTGCCGCGAGAGAAGCGGTCGCCCTCGCCAGTTCAACCTGTCGGACTTCACCCGGCGCGCGTACGGCACGAATTACATCGAGGCGGCCCGCCCTTTGCCAGAGCCAGCTGGCCGTGGTGGCTCGTCGCACTGCCTGCGCACCCAGCCGTGCACGGAGCACGGCCGAGGGCGGATTTCTTCGAGCCGCGCCAGCCCCCCCCCCTCCCCCGCGTGGGTCCCCTCGCGCAGGCAGCCTGGTGGTTCACCTCTCTCTCTCTCTCTCTCTCTCTCTCTCTCCCTCTCTCTCTCTCTTTTTCTCTTTCTCGCTCTCTCTGTCTCTCTTTTTTTTGTTTTTCTCTCTCTCTCTCTTTTTCTCCATCTCTCTCTTTCTCTTTATCTGTCTGTTTTCTTCATATATATATATATATATATATACGTAAGGGCTTCGCCCCCTGCCGCCGGCCCCCTCTCTCGGAGAATGGGCCATGGAAGAGCTACGTCATGAGGCTTTGGCGCTGTCGCGCAGCAGTATCGGAACTTCATGCGAGGGCGATTCGCAATCGGCAAAACCAACTGATCACAAGAGGGGTTACCACACAGGGCGATTGGTAAGACGTGTATGGTTTACGAGCTTGGTTACCACACCTTGGGATTAAAGGGCCGAGGGAGTACTCGCAGTTTGGGTTACCACGCCTTGCGATGGATGTCCGTGAGGGGTGGCACCGAATTTCAGAAATGTGGCAAATCCCTGTGTTTTTGGACCCTGACCCCGCGGATCTGCGTGAGGGGTGGCACCGAATTTCAGAAATGTGGCAAATCCCTGTGTTTTTGGACCCTGACCCCGCGGATCTGCGTGAGGGGTGGCACCGAATTTCAGAAATGTGGCAAATCCCTGTGTTTTTGGACCCTGACCCCGCGGATCTGCGTGAGGGGTGGCACCGAATTTCAGAAATGTGGCAAATCCCTTGTGTTTTTGGACCCTGACCCCGCGGATCTGCGTGAGGGGTGGCACCGAATTTCAGAAATGTGGCAAATCCCATGTGTTTTTGGACCCTGACCCCGCGGATCTGCGTGAGGGGTGGCACCGAATTTCAGAAATGTGGCAAATCCCTTGTGTTTTTGGACCCTGACCCCGCGGATCTGCGTGAGGGGTGGCACCGAATTTCAGAAATGTGGCAAATCCCCTGTGTTTTTGGACCCTGACCCCGCGGATCTGCGTGAGGGGTGGCACCGAATTTCAGAAATGTGGCAAATCCCTTGTGTTTTTGGACCCTGACCCCGCGGATCTGCGTGAGGGGTGGCACCGAATTTCAGAAATGTGGCAAATCCCTTGTGTTTTTGGACCCTGACCCCGCGGATCTGCGTGAGGGGTGTCGATTTTGAGCCCCCCCAGCAATTCAGACAACGCGCCCAGGGGGTGCTAAAAAATCCTGTTTGGGCCTCCCCCCCCCTCGCGCGGTCAATCAACTAGTTACAGTAACCAGCAAGAAGCAGAACTGTAACACTGGAAACTACAAGCTACAGCTGGTACTGGAAACTGCGAACCCGTGCCCACAGCCTGGTGGCCCCACAAGGGGGCCGGCGGATATATATATATATATATTATATATGTATATATATATATATATATATATATATAGTTCTCCCTTTTCTCTCTCTCTCTCTCTCTCTGAGGATCTTCGCGCGCTCCAGCCTGCACGATTTCCCGTCCAGTCGCTGGCTTCCCGCCACCCAGGGAGTTCCAGGCATCGAGGCCCGAGGGGGAGGAGGAGGAGGAGGAGGAGGAGGAGGAGGAGGAGGAGGAGGAGGAGGAGGAGAAGGAGGAGAAGGAGGAGGAGGAGGAGTAGGAGGAGAAGGGAGAGGAGGAGGAGGAGGAGGAGGAGGAGGAAGAGGAGGAGGAGGAGGAGGAGGAGGAGGAGTGGAGTGGAGTGGACACCATCACGAGTGTAATCCTGACGAAGCACCCGAACTCATAGCACACTCTCGAACGCCAGACCTGCGCCAGCCTGCCTCAGGACCCTGGGATTTGAAGCCCGCGTGGTCCTGCGAGAAATCCCTTGCCATGTGCCGAAACAGCCCGCCGTATTCAACCAAAATCACGCTGCGCACGACAGTACAGAACATGGACCCAGAGAGGCCTGCACAAGATCAAGTACCGTTCAAAGCTGCGGAATACACGCGCCCATAACCATCAACTCACATTTGCTTACACTCCTGCTGCTCGCTACTTCGGGTGGCGGCAGCCCAAACGATCACAGCCGAACCATTAGGCAGGAAAGAAGCGGCCTGCCCTCCCCGAAGAGTCTCAGCATCTCGTACAAGTCTCGCTCTAGTAACACTGTTCTCCCAATCGTTGAGCTCAGAATTCTCTCCCCCCGTCTCGCCCGCCCTGGTCGCAGCTCTGTAGCTGATCACGTCGGGCTGCAACTTGGCCCCAGACTTCTCGCACACGCTGTGAACAGGATGGTGACTAGGGTTGGAGGCCGACGGCCGTTTCGCTTCCAACCACGCCTTGGAGATGCACGCTCGGGCGGCCCACCACACTGCTGAACTCGAAGATCCACCAGGTCGTAGGGCAGCAGCGTCGGCCACGGTAGCGGATGGCGAGACGACGTTGGCAACGGACTCGTTCCCCTCGAGCTCGGCGTCGGGCAGTGGGGATTCGGCGCCTCCAGGCTCGTCACCACGAGCAGTTTCGGCCAGCCGAATGGGAAACGTTCCCAAGCCCCCAGGGCGAGTGCGCCCCCTGGGGTCGACGCGGGCAGGAGGCAGGGGAATGGCATTCGCCCCCGTCCCCCCCCGGCCCCCCATGTATGAGGCCCCATGGGGTGGGCACTGAACTGCAGCAGCCTGCGCGTCCAGCGACGCTCCCGCGGCCCCTGCGGCAGGGCAGTGATCCCCCGTAGGGGCCCTCACGTCGGCGCCCGTCGCCTCTGCAGCGGCAGCGCCCGCGGCGCCCTCGGCAGGGCAGTCATCCCCCGTAGGGGCCCTCTGGGCTGCGATCCCTTCCGCCGCCGCTCCGTCCACCTGGCCACCGACCACCGCGACCGCGCCTGAGGAGAACACCGTGGTCCCGCAGGTGCAGACGAGGCCCGTGCAGCGCGTGTGCGCGAACGGCTCGAAGGGCTCCCAGTAGCCCGCCGACGGGGCGAACTCGGTTGCCTCGGCGCGCAACGGGGTCGCATCCGCTTCGATCATCTCCGTCCGAAGGTCCAGCTGGCGCCCCTGCCTCCGTTGCACTCGATTGAGTGCCCTGAACGAGAGGTCCATGAGCCGGTCCATGGGGAGGTTGAAGACATGCAACGCGACGTTGCGCAGCACCTGCTCCCTATGAGAATGGGCAGGTGTGGCACCTTGCCTGGCAGCCTCGACCTCCTCGACGAGAAAAGGCAAAATGGCATCCAAGCGCCGTCGTACTTCAGGGTCGTCTGCCCATCTGCTGCGCTCCTGCAATACATTCTTCTCCGTAATGAGTTTCCTGACCAAATTATCGGCCGACAATGCGGCACGCGCGCGTCGCTGCCGCCGAGCTGCAGCCGCGCCAAGCACATCTTCACGCCACACACACAGGGCGGGTCCCGCAGCCAGTTCATGCTTGCTCCCAGTATCCGGCGCCATGAGCTAGCACATAGAGCCAAGATGTTGGGGCGCGGCGGCATGAGCCAAAATGGCTTGAGCCAAAATAGCTACGGAGGAGGTGGAGGAGGAGGAGGAGACGGAGGAGGAGGAGGAAGAGGAGGAGGAGGAGGAGGCGGAGGAGAAGGGAGAGGAGGAGGTGCCGGAGGAGGTGGAGGAGGGAGGAGGAGGAAGGAGGGAGGAGGAGGAGGAGGATGTTGGAGGAAGAGAAGGATGAGAAGGAGGTGGGAGGATGAAGAGGGCGGAGGAGGAGGAGGAGGAGGAAGAAGAAGCAAAGGAGGAGGAGGAGGAGGAGGAGGAGGAGGAGGAGGAGGAGGAGGAGATGATGATGATGATGATGATGATGATGATGATGATGATGATGATGATGATGATGATGATGATGATGATGATGAACATGATGATGATGATAATGATGATGATGATGATGATGATGATATGATGATGATGATGATGATGATGATGATGATGATGATGATGATGATGATTATGCTGATGATGATGACGATGATGATGATGATGCTGATGATGATAAAGGTGATGATGATGATGATGACCATGACGATGATGCTGCTGATGATGATGCTGATGATGCTGATGATGCTGATGATGCTGCTGATGCTGATGATGCTCTTGATGCTGATACTGAGGATGAGGATGAGGATGAGGATGATAACAATGAGGATGAGGATGCTGATGCTGATGCTGATGATGCTGATGCTGATGCTGATGCTGATGACTATGACGCTGATGGTGATATTGACGACGATGTTGATGCTAATGATGCTGATCGTGATAAAAAAAACGATGATGCTGCTGATGCAAATGCTGATGCTAATGATGACGGTCACGATGACGACGACGATGTTGCCGATTATGCTGTTGATGATGAACGTGATCATTATGATGATGTTGCTGATAAAGATTGTGATAACGATGATGATGATGCTGATGATGACGATGACAGACGTAAATGAGGGCATAAGTCATAGAGGACAGGATGACGAGAAGAGGAGGATGAGGACAGACGCCATAGATTTGAGTTGTGCGGCGAGACTTAGAGAACATACTGACACATCAGAGTGCGAGAATCGCATCTCGGCACTTGCGAGCTCTGTACTGGACATGGTCTAAACGTTGCCAGGTTGTCCCGAAAACCTTTGAACAGGCAGGGCACGTTGTAGCCCCTGCTGGGATCACGGACGCCACATGTTTCCGATGGCCGTGAACCCTCATCCTGTGCGTGGCAACGGCTTTGCTGCTACTGCTGCTGATGATGTTGATTATGATGATGACGATGATGCTGATGCTGATGTTGATGATGTGACGATGGTGATGTTGCTGCTGCTGGTGATGATGATGATGATGATGATGATGATGATGATGATGATGATGATGATGATGATGATGATGGTGATGATGAGTAGGATGAGGAGGAGGAGAAGGAAGAGGATGATGAGTAGGAGGGGTTGGAGGAGGAGGAGGAGGAGGAGGAGGAGGGGGAGGAGGAGGAGGAGGAGGAGGAGGATATGGTGAATGGTGCAGGAGGAGGAGGAGGCGGTGGAGGAGGAGGAGGAGGAGGAGGAGGAGGAGGAGGAGAAGGATGATATGATGAATGATGGGACGAGGGTAGGAGGGGGATGTGGGGGCAGCCGACAAAGTCGTTGCGACCCATATGGCCTCTTCGCACGTGAGGAGAGATGGGGACCTTGCGCAGGCTGGACATCACAGCCTGGTGTCGTGGCGCTCCGAGAGGAATTGACACATACCAACGCAAGGAGGAGGGATCACAAGTATGAGCAGTACTATCAGCCAGGGGATGGAAAGCGAGATTGGGATACTGGGAAAGAGGGAATCGGATGAGTCCGAGGCGGGGATCCATCCACCAGAACCACCGCCTGGGAGATCGATCAACACGGATATCGGCTGGCGGTGGATGTGGATAGATTGCCCCATAGGGTTCGGAATATACCCACCCACCGCTCCCTGGTGTCCCAGGACTTCGGTTCCCCAGGCTGTTGTTATGTATAAATCTCAGCCTCGCAAGGAGATGGCCCTTGCGCAGATTTTCCCGAGCCCCGCTCCCCTGCACATGCAGTGCGCCCGCGCCATGTCTGAGCTCGGGACCCCCCGCCAGTTGGGGCTCTGTGCTCCCGAGGTGCCTGGAGCGGAGTCGTCTGCTGAATGTCAGGTTTATCCTCTCTTTCCTCAGGAGCGATATCATAGCTGTTTTTGTTGGGAGGGGTGTAACTTTCGCAGTCTGGAGGTATGCTTCGAGCCCCAGGACAATAAACGATTGATCTGGGATAGACCACTTGCGAAAACGGACCCTAGGACCTCGGATGGGTTTGGGGACGGTTGATGAGCGGATTTTGGTCGAGAGAGTCAGACTGGATGTATGCCAATACTATGCACATTATAACGATGCCGTTGCCTTCTCCTCGCTTTCGCATTTTTGTAAAGAGCCTTCTTGGGGAACCTTTTCGCCACGGCAGTATTCAGCTCCCTGGGAGAGTTCTGTTTGGGTCCGAAGTCTGACCCGCTCACATCCACTCCCCCCCGCGTCGCCACAATATTTTGTCAGTGTGGGTGGGCGGTGTGTGTTTGCAGGTGGAGCATGTGGCATGAGTCCTCTATCGAACTGGTCACCACCTCCGCGTCTTCGTCTCTGCCCCCCTCGGGCTTCTGTGTATCCTTTTCGCACACAGGACGGAGCGGTATTCCTATCAGTCCGTTTCCCGAACTTTTCCGCCGCAGTCACCATTTCTCCACTCATATTCAGCAGGATATTGGCAGGTATGGGCCAGATTCCTCTCGCTTCTCGGTGTTCATGTCCAGGACGCATGAAAACTACTGGCGGTGCGTGGCTTCTCGGTGGCCTCTCGGAGGCCTCCGGGGTGCGCGACTATACCGGAGGCGAGGCCCTGTTGCAGATCCTCTTGGGCCGTTTTGGAACCATCTTGGGCCGACCTGGGCCCTTCTTCAACGTCCTGGGAATCTGTATGGGCGCCCTTTGGGGCCGTCTTGGGACCCACGTGGGCCGTTGGGGCGGTCTCGGGAGCCTCTTCGGCCACTTCTCTGAGCCCTCTGGGCCTCTTGTGGGTGGTCTTGGGTCCGTCTTGGGGGCCTCTTCTGCCATACTGAGGCCATCTTGGAGGCCTCTTGTGTCGTTTTGCGTTGACGGAAGTCGGAACTATTGAGAACCCGTCTGTTGTTGAACACCTTGATTACGTGAATCAATGATTTCGGAAATTTCGGGTCCTTGTGGAAGTCCTCTTGAAGCTCCCTTGGGCCGTCTTGAGTGCCTAGTTGTCTTGAGGCCATCCTCAGACATCTTTGAGGCATTTGGGGCCATCTGGGCAGCCCTGGTGGCCTACCTCGACCGTCTGGTAACCCATTTTGGGCATCCTGGGCGCCTTGGAGAGCTCCATGGTGGCGTCGGGGTGGGGGGGTGGGGCGGTGTCCCTCAGAAGACTTACCGACCCTACCAGACAGTACTTGACATTCTACCAAGCCTCAGCGTGCCAGGGGACACGGTGGCGATCTTACTTGATGGTAATGGATCACGGTGTTGGAGTACTCCACCTCGCGCCAGCATGAGCTAGATCATTTGGCCGACGCCATACCCGCCGATCTTTGAGGTTATGCTTTGAGACCGCGGTTGGTCCTTGCAGGCGTTGACGCTGTCGTGTGCATGCAGCTGCGGCTGTAACGCAACAGGCAAACCGCTCTCACTGTAGTGCAGGGGCTGTGTCCATTTCGATCCGATCGATCCGTCTCTGTGCCGATGCAGCTTGGTCCGATACACGTGTCGAATCGATGCTGATTGGCCCTGGTCCATGGGGATTCGCAGACAGGACCTCCCTGACGGGAAGGGCACGACCTGGAGTGAAAAGTAACGGCTCTGAGACTCTCCGATTGCAGTTGCACGCGAACTGCCGGATCCGCAGGATCTATTTTTCCGACAGGCCGACGCTGCTTCTTCTCTCCTTGGCAATCCACGCCATTGCTTCTCTCCAATCTTGATATGCACTGTCAACACAAATGTCCTAGTGGCAAAAGCAGTGAGTCGTGACTCTCCCATCCTCGGCCTTCATCGGCCACCAGGTAAGTGAGCTATTCATTCGGTTACCCCATCTCTTGTTTTCCTACTGGATGCGGTTTCACATCGATCTTCTACTATTGCGCATGTTGCATGGCAGTGTGCGCTCTTCTGATGCAGGCTCTGGAGGCCGTGATCCCGAGCAGTTGTGCGTTCCTCGCCCCACCCCGCTGCGGAGAGAGACCTGCGCGGCAGGCTGTACAGCGAGGAGGAGCTGCCGCCGGAGTTCAAGCTCTTCCTGCCGGTGGCCAAGAAGGCGGCCAGAACGCTACCTCGCGGCACCATTAAAACGGGGCGGCTAGAACGCTACCTCTCGGCACAGTCGAAACGGATACGGGACGAACGGGAACGAAGACCGACAGCAGTTCTTGCTTGTTTTGAACAGGATTCGGTGCCAGTGTCGCCGCGGACGTTGTCCATTTGAGACAAAAGCTCGCCTGTCCAACAGCGTCCGTCGTGGGGGGGGTCGGACGCGGCTAGGACGATGATAAGTCCGTTGCAGAGCGTTCCGAAACGCTCTGAAAGGCTGGGGCGCCCGAGGCATCCTCCAGAACCGCCAGATCTCAGAGATTCTCGATTCGCCCCCACCCAATTATATCCTCGTCCTGGCTTCGTCTTAGGGGGTAGAGGCGGGAGGCTTGTGACTGCAAGATCTCGCGTTGCAGGGGCAGGCGCTGGATTGCCCCAGTCGGGCCAGAAGCAACCGTGCCGCTGGACCCGGGGGTGGGTGAATGCCATTTCGCCTTGCAGAGCACCCTCCGCCCCGTAGAGCACCGTCGTGAAGCACCCGTTGGGAGGGGAAACTCGGCGGCGCGCCTGGGGGGGAGGTGAGAAGAGGCGGGCCTTCTCAGAAGGCTCGGAAGTCCCCCGGCTATCCGAGGAGTTTTCTAAGCCTTACCCGAAGGCGCCAACAATTTCTCAGAAGGCGCGAGGCATTCGGCTTCTGAGAAGTCCCACCGCCTTCTGAGAAGGCCTCCTCCTTCTCACTTCCGCCCTCGCTGCCCGCCGACCTTGGGAGGGGAAACGTAAGACTCGAGTTCTGCGGAATTCGGGTTTGGCGACACTTTTTGACGAGCGCGTCCTGGATTCTGACTGTGCAGTTCTTGTGGGATGTCAGCAGTGGGGGCTCGCGTCAATTTCAGACCGAGCCATCGATGTTTTCATGATGGCTCGGTCAGGCCAACCTGAGTCCCCTGAGCCCGAGTCTTAGATCTTCTTGATCGTGGGAGGGGGAGGTTGTCTTCGGATTCTGATTTCTGGACGATCCGATGCACCCCGATGCTTGCACGGCGTTGTTGTGCAATCTGGTGCAGCCGATCCGATTCGGTTCCGACTCCTTGCCGATGCGGTCCGACTCGATGCACGTTCCCATCCGATTCGATTTCCCGATTCGATGATGATGCACCCCTTGTGAAGCACCCCCTGGGAATGGGGGCCCGGCTGGGAACAGCCTCGAGGCGGAGTGCCAGTGCCGACGGCTCCGTGCTGTGTGCGCCCCGCGCGCGCTGGTCGCGGGCCCGCTGCCTTCGGAGAGGGGCCCGCGCACTTCGCGAGGGGATATCGAAGATGCCTACGGCTAGGATCCCCAGTGAAACAGCCGTTTTTGTAGACGTGGGTTGCGCAGCGGCGCGGTCTTCCGGGTGGCCGTCGGAACGGGCAGAAGCCCCATGGGGAGAGTTCTTCTGGAAAAAGAAACACCAGACCAGTAGGGTCTAGCAGGCTGGGCACCCCCGTGGCAAGACCACACGGGGCGGCGGATCGAAGACGCCCACGGCGAATCACCGCCGCCCCCTGCCTTCTAGAGTCGCCCATGTGGTCGAGCGTTGTGGCAAGAGCTCTGCCAAGCTATCGGACCATGTGCTCCCCCAACCGTTTTGGAAACCCTTCGGGGAACACTCGGGGGAGGATGGCGGGGAAGATCAGGACTATGCGGTACTATGCGGAGAAGACGTCCACAGCTCTGTGAGCACAATGGAGCCTTGAGGCTTGCGGGGCCCCTCTGCTCGAGGGGGGACCCACGAAGAAAAACTCAGCCAACAAGAAGAATGGAAGGCCCCGCGCCGCAGGGACCCCCGTAACGCAAAAAGCTCTTCACACCAAGGCTCCCAAGAGCGAACGGTGACGTAAACAAGCTGATAAGACCAAGGCTCCCAGCAGAGAGCGGTGACGTACCAAGTTCCTGACACCAAGGCCCAGCCAAGGCTCAGGAACGGGCGGCAACGCAACAATCTCTGAACAAGGCTCCCAAGAGCGAGGGGTGACGTAACAAGCTCTCAACGCCAGGGCTCCTGGTACGAACGGTGGTGTGAGTAATTTCGGTTTCTGTTTCTGAAGCGCTCTTTCCGTTTCTGTGCCAGGCCAGGTAACGGAAAGAGCGAGGTACGAGTGATGACGTTTTGGTGTGGGCGAAGCCCTAAAGGGAGGGGTTCCAGGGGAGGGGGGTAGCGTGCGCATTTGCGTGTTAATGGCCGTTTTCGGGTGTTCCCTTATGTTTTTGCATGTTTTTCTGGTTCCCCCCCACGGCGGCCCAAGAGCGCTCCAAGAGAGCCCAAGACCGCCCAAGACGGCCCAAGAGGCCCTGAAGAGGCGCCCAAGGGGCGTCCCAAGAGGGCCCCAAGAGGCCGAAATTATAGATTTTCCAGAGGCTTTGTCGGTTTTCACGGCGTTGACGACGGCCCAAGAGGCTCCCAAGACCGCCCCAAGACGGCCCAAGAGGCTCCCAGGAGGCCTCCCAAACGGCCCAAGAGGGCGCCAAGACGGCCCAAGAGGCGCTCAAGACGGCCCAAGAGGGCGCCAAGACGGCCCCAAGAGGGGGACCACGAACCGAAAAGTCTAGCCTTTCGCCCCAAGGCGCTCCCAGGAGGCCCTTCCAGAGCCCCCCAAGAAGCCCCAAGAGGCGTCCCAAGAGGCCACTGGGAGGCGAAACTCATTGATGTTCTATTGGGAAAAGGTACATTTTTAGCATACAAGGCTTTTCGGCTTTCACTGCGTTGAAGACGCTCCAAGAGGCCCCCAAGACCGCCCCAAGACGGCCCAAGAGGCTCCCAAGAGGCCCCCCAAACGGCCCAAGAGGGCGCCAAGACGGCCCAAGAGGCGCCCAAGACGGCCCAAGAGGGCGCCAAGACGGCCCCAAGAGGGGGACCACGAACCGAAAAGTCTAGCCTTTCGCCCCAAGAAAGCTCCCAGGAGGCCCCCAGAGCCCCCCAAGAGGCCCCCAAGAGGTTCCCAAGAGGTTCCCAAGATGCCTCCAAAAGGGCCCGACAAGGGCCCCAATGGGACTCCCAAGGAGGCCCAGAGACGCCAAATAGAGAGCGATCGGTAACGCAAAAAGCTCTTCACACCAAGGCTCCCAAGAGCGAACGGTGACGTAAACAAGCTGATAAGACCAAGGCTCCCAGCAGAGAGCGGTGACGTAACAAGTTCCTGACACCAAGGCCCAGCCAAGGCTCAGGAACGGGCGGCAACGCAACAATCTCTGAACACCAAGGCTCCCAAGAGCGAGGGGTGACGTAACAAGCTCTCAACGCCAAGGCTCCCAGTACGAACGGTGGTGTGAGTAATTTCGGTTTCTGTTTCTGAAGCGCTCTTTCCGTTACTGTGCCGGGCCAAGTCTAATGGCGATCGGCCCATCCCGCCACCGTGCCTGGGTTGTGGGTATGAAGCGAAGCCTATTGGATGTTCGTTGGGATCTCGTGGGAGGCTTCTCGGGGGCCTCTTGGAGGCAGTTTTGACGCCTCTTGCGGGCCGTTTTGGGGCCTCTTGGGGCCTTTCCGCAGCTTCGGGAATCAGTGAAAGCAGGTTGCCCGATTGCAGCGTCGTCTCGAGGCAAAGACGCGATTTGGCAGCGGCGAAGCCGAGTCGGCGTCGCCGACGAGATCTTGCGAGGGCCTCCAGAGGCCGAAAACTGCCAAAACCTCTCGCGCGTTGTTTTGTTTGCGACGCGAGCATGTCTGGCAATGGAAGTGAAGAGGGGCGGGGTGACCAAAAGATACCGACTCCCCCGGTTTGCGTTCTGACCAGCATTTCGACGCGAATCCGTCAGAACGCGTGTGCCATCTCGCTTAAGTGTGTCATCTCGCCTGAGTCGAATTATACAGATGCCGCCCATGCACAACAGCTGTACAACCCATGTCGGCCCAACGAAAAGACTGGGAGTTGCAACAAAAAGAGAAGGAGGAGCTGGAGGAGGAGGAGGAGGAGGAAGAAGAGGAGGAGGACGGCGGAGAAGGCAGGAAGCGGCAGAACGCAGGACCGAGCCTGGGACCCAGACAGATACGTAGCGCGAGAGAGGATCGAGGCTATTCTCCGGATTCGGTGCCTGACCGAGGAGTAGGACGGACATCAAGCGTGGGACGAAGACCGGATGCTGACGCGCTCGGACGAGGAGAGAAGTCGGGGATGTCTTCGAGCCGGCGTGTCCGCGGGTGCCGCGACCGCTCGAGAGCGTGCCCCCATCGCTCTGAGAGCGCTACGGCATGCTCTGACAAGAAAGATCCTCGCCTGGAGGCAGGAGGGGGCAGGAGGAGGCAGAACGCATGACCCCGCCGCCTTCCCGCCGCCCGCCGCCCGAGGGCGCGGCGGACGCGGCGGCCGCGGGGGCGACGGCGGCGGCGTGAGCGCGGCCAGGGGGCGAGCTCTGCGGGGGGTCAGGGGCGAGAGGGAACGACGGGGAGGAGGAGGGCAACGACGAGGAGGAGGAGGAGGAGGAGGAGGAGGAGGAGGAACAAGGAGGAACGAGGAGGAACGAGGAGGAACGAGGAGGAACGAGGAGAAACGAGGAGGAGGAAGAGGAGGAGGAGGAGGAGGAGGTACGAGGAGGAGGAGTAGGAGGAGGAGGACCAGTGTAAACCCAAGAGTCACCAACGATGTTGGAACAGACCCTCCCCCAAAGCTCACTCTTCACAGACCCCATACACCGGTTCATTTCCACAGAGGGACCTGCCCCGCTGGAAGACAACCGTTTGAAGGCCGTGAAGCATACCAAAACATTATCCGTAAGGGCTTCGCCCCCTGCCGTTGGCCCCCTTTCTCGGATAATGGGTACATGTAATAACCAAATCATGAGGCCTTGGCGCCGCCGTGAAGCAGCGTCGGGACTTCACGCGGAGACGATGAGTAATCGGCAAGACAAATTGAGATTCTGATGATATTGTTGAATTCGGTGTTGCATTTCGAGCTTGCTCGCGCATGCTGTGCAAATAGCTTTGTTACGAAGCACTGAAATATTGCAAATCCCATGTGTTTTCGACCCTGACCCCGGCGATCTGCATGAGGAATGCCACCGAATTTCAGAAATGTGGCAAATCCCTTGTGTTTTTGGACCCTGACCCCGCCGATCTGTGTGAGGGAGGCCACCGAATTTCAAGACATGTGGCAAACCCCATTGGTTTTTCGACCCTGACCCCGCCGACCTGTGTGAGGGGTGTTGCCAAATGTTAGAAATATGGCAAATCTCATTGGTTTTTCGACCCTGACGCTGGCGATCTGCGTGGGGGGTGCCACCGAATTTTAGAAATGTGGCAAATCCCATTGGTTTTTCGACCCTGACGCTGGCGATCTGCGTGAGGGGTGCCACCGTCTTTTTAGAAATGTGGTAAATCCAATGGGTTTTTGGACTCTGACCCCGGCGATCTGCATGAGCTGTGCCACTGAATTTTGGAAATTTGGCAAATCCCATTGGTTTTTGGACTCTGACCCCGCCGATCTGCGTGAGAGCTGTCAATTTCGACCCCCTCAGAAATTCTGAGACCTCTCCCGGTAGGTGCTAACCAGGTTGCGTTTCGTCTCCCCCCCCCTCGAGCAGTCTACAACAAGGAACAGCAAGAAACAAGAAGCAGAGCTGTAACAGTGGAAACTGGAAGCTGGAACTGCCAACGCCACGGATCAACCTGACTGTTGCGTCTTGCGATCCTGAATCGTGCCAGAACGTCATTTCTGGGACTTTGGCACCGCGGATCATCGTAACTGTAACGCCCTCCTAATCGTGAATCTTTCCAAAACACCATTTCTGGCACGCCGATCATGTTAATCCGAGAAGCTCTTGCATAGTTTCGAAAAGAATGCACGCGGCGCTAGGGCGAGAGCCATCTTTTGAAAAGGAACCGCCCTCAATCCGTGAAGCCCTTGCAAATAGTTGAAAAGAAAATGCGCGACGCTAGAGCGAGAGCCACATTTCGAAAACCACCCGCCCTCGATCCGTGAAGCTCTGGCAAATTTTTAGCACGAATGTGCGCGGCGCTAAGGCGAGAGCCACATTTTGGAAACCTTGGGCCCTCAATCCGTGAAACCCTTGCACAATTCTAGAACGAATGTGCGCGGCACTAAGGCGAGAGGCACATTTTGAAAACGACCCGCCCTCAATCCGTGAAGCTCTTGCAATTTGTTCATGCGAATGTGCGCGGCGCTAAGGCGAGAGCAAAATTTTGAAATCGACCCGCCCTCCATCTGTGAAGCCGTTGTCAGGTTTTAAGCTTCAGGCTCTCAGGCGGAACGCCGGGCCCGCCCTACAAACTGGCCTCGGGGTGCGACAGGGAGAATGTATTCATAAGGAGAAGGAATGGAGCAGTGAGAAGGAGGAGGAGGTGGAGGAGGAGAAGAAGGAGGAGGAGGTGGTGGAGGAGGGTCGGACGGGACGGAGGTTCGGGGATGGGGAAAGTGGCAGGGGCGGCGAAGTCTGCTGCGCGCAGCGGGAGGAGGAGGCGGAGCAGAAGGAGGAGGAGGAGGAGGAGGAGGAGGAGGGGAGGAGGACCAGTGTAAACCCAAGAGTCACCAACGATGTTGGAACAGACCTTCCCCCAAAGCTCACTCTTCATAGACCCCATACACCGGTTCATTTCCACAGAGGGACCTGCCTCGCTGGAAGACAACCGTTTGAAGACCGTGAAGCATGCCAAAACATTATCCGTAAGGGCTTCGCCCCCTGCCGTTGGCCCCCTTTCTCGGATAATGGGTACATGTAATAACCAAATCATGAGGCCTTGGCGCCGCCGTGAAGCAGCGTCGGGACTTCACGCGAAGACGATGAGTAATCGGCAAGACAAATTGAGATTCTGATGATATTGTTGAATTCGGTGTTGCATTTCGAGCTTGCTCGCGTATGCTGTGCAAATAGCTTTGTTACGAAGCATTGAAATGTTGCAAATCCCATGTTTTTTCGACCCTGACCCCGGCGATCTGCATGAGGAGTGCCACCGAATTTCAGAAATGTGGCAAATCCCTTGTGTTTTTTGAACCTGACCCCGCCGATCTGTGTGAGGGAGGCCACCGAATTTCAAGACATGTGGCAAACCCCATTGGTTTTTCGACCCTGACCCCGCCGACCTGTGTGAGGGGTGTTGCCAAATGTTAGAAATATGGCAAATCTCATTGGTTTTTCGACCCTGACGCCGGCGATCTGCGTGGGGGGTGCCACCGAATTTTAGAAATGTGGCAAATCCCATTGGTTTTTCGACCCTGACGCTGGCGATCTGCGTGAGGGGTGCCACCGTCTTTTTAGAAATGTGGTAAATCCAATGGGTTTTTGGACTCTGACCCCGGCGATCTGCATGAGGTGTGCCACTGAATTTTGGAAATTTGGCAAATCCCATTGGTTTTTGGACTCTGACCCCGCCGATCTGCGTGAAGGCTGTCAATTTCGACCCCCTCAGAAATTCTGAGACCTCTCCCGGTAGGTGCTAACCAGGGTGCGTTTCGTCTCCCCCCCCCCTCGCGCAGTCTACAACAAGGAACAGTAAGCAACAAGCAGCAGAGCTGTAACAGTGGAAACTGGAAGCTGGAACTGGCGCAGGGAACAGCAAACCCTGAGCCTACAGCCTGGTGGCCACATCAGGGGGCCGGCAGATTCTCGGGATGCCAACGCCACGGATCAACCTGACCGTTGCGTCTTGCGATCCTGAATCATGCCAGAACGTCATTTCTGGGGCTTCGGTACCGCGGATCATCGTAACTGTAACGCCCTCCTAATCGTGAATCTTTCCAAACACCATTTCTGGTACGCCGATCATGTGAATCCGAGAAAACTCTTGCATAGTTTCGAAAAGAATACACGCGGCGCTAAGGCGAGAGCCATCTTTTGAAAAGGAACCGCCCTCAATCCGTGAAGCCCTTGCAAATAGTTGAAAAGAACGTGCGCGACGCTAGAGCGAGAGCCACATTTCGAAAACCACCCGCCCTCGATCCGTGAAGCTCTGGCAAATTTTTAGCACGAATGTGCGCGGCGCTAAGAAGAGAGCCACACTTTGAAAACCTTTGGCCCTCAATCCGTGAAACCCTTGCACAATTCTAGAACGAATGTGCGCGGCGCTAAGGCGAGATGCACATTTTGAAAACGACCCGCCCTCAATCCGTGAAACTCTTGCAATTTGTTCAAGCGAAAGTGCGCGGCGCTAAGGCGAGAGCAAAATTTTGAAATCGACCCGCCCTCCATCTGTGAAGCCGTTGTCAGGTTTTAAGCTTCAGGCTCTCAGGCGGAACGCCGGGCCCGCCCTACAAACTGGCCTCGGGGTGCGACAGGGAGAATGTATTCGTAAGGAGAAGGATGGAGCAGTGAGAAGGAGGAGGTGGAGGAGTAGAAGGAGGAGGAGGTGGTGGAGGAGGGTCGGGCGGGACGGAGGTTCGGGGTTGGGGAAAGTGGCGGGGGCGGCGAAGTCTGCTGCGCGCAGCAGGAGGAGGAGGAGGCGGAGCAGGAGGAGGAGGAGGAGGGGAGGAGGATGGAAAGGGGAAATAAGGAGGAGTATCTGAGGAGGGTAAAGGAGGGTGGAGGAGGACGAAGGATGATGAAGTAGGAGGAGGGATGAGGAGGATGATTACAGAGCAGGAGGAGGCATGACGATGATGATGACGACGGCGATGCGCCATGACGATGAAGGTGACGATGGAGATGGAGATGCAGATTAAGATGGAGATGTTGCTGATGATGATGATCATGATCATGATCATGATCATGCTGCTGATGATGATGATGATGGTGATGGTGATGGTGATAGTGATGATGATGATGAGGATGATGATGAGGATGGTGATGCTGTTTATGCTGATGATGACGATGATGATGATGAGGATGATGCTGATGATGCCGATTAGGCTGATGAGGATGTGGATGAGGATGATGCTGATGATGATGATGATGATGATGATGACGAGGATGCTGATGATGATGCTGATGATGGTGGTGCGATTGCTCATGATGCTGATTATGATGATGCTGCCGATGACGATGTTGCTGCTGCTGATGAGGATGCTGCTGCTGCCGATGAGGATGATTATGACAAGTGTTGTTGATGTTGTTTTTGATGTTGAAGATGCTGATGCTGACGATGATGCTCGGGATCATGATGAGGATGCTACTTCGGACGATGATGACGACGACGATACCGATGCTGCTGGTGATGATGGTGGTGATGATGACGAACATGAAGCTGATGGTTGTGACGATGGCGATGATGCTGATGCTGCTGCTGATACCGACGCTGCTTCTGCTGATGATGATCCTGCTGATGCTGATGCTGATGATGATGCTTCTGATGATGAGGAGGAGGATGATGAGGTGGAGAGAGAGGATGCGGAGGAGAATGTGGAGGAGCCCTTTCCGCTTTATGTTCGCAGGCCTGGTTGTGTC